TTTTGAGTTTTGTTCCACATTGTTTTCCCTCTATCCAGGATCTCCTACAGAGATCCCCCTCCAAGTGGCTGACAGTGGTAGCCGGGCACCATCTAGTTCTTCTGGTCTCATAGTTGTATAGGCTGAGGATCGCATGGTGTACCAGTTGCTTGGACTGTTTAGGAAGGAACTTTTTATTCTCAAATATAAGCACCCCCATTCCCTTATTAGGAGCTCTGGTAACATAGTGCCTAAGGCACTTGACTGCTAACCAGAAGGCTGGCGGTTCAAACCCACAAGCCACTCCTCAGAAGGAAGGTTGAGCAATCTACTTCCGTAGTGATACTGCCTCAGAAACCCAAGGAGGGGTCGCTATTAGTAGGGGCCGACTCGACAGCACATAACAACAACCACCACCACACTCCCTTATTACTATTACTGTGATCCCCTCAGAAAAGCACAAAACAACCACTGCTATCAAATCGATTCTGACTCATAGCGACCTTACAGGGCAGAGTAGAACTGCCCCATAGGGTTTCCAAGGCTGTAAATCCTTACAGAAACAGACTGCCTGCCTCATCTTTCTCCTTCGGAGCAGCAGGTGGGTTTGAACTGTGGACCTTCTGGTTAGCAGCCAAATGCCTTAACCATTGAGTCACCAGAGCTCCTTAAAAGAAAAAGTATCAATCCCTTAAGAAGAAATGCCCTTTTTTTTTTTTTTTCCTGGCAGTTTACTAACTGCTTTAGAAAAACCAAGGAGCTCTGGTGGTGCAGTGATTAAAACTTTCAGCTGCTAATCAAAAGGTTGGGAGTTTGAACCTAGCAGCTGTTACACAAACAAAAGATGAGACAGTCTGTTTCCATAAAGATTTCTGCCTTTATATACCCTTGGGGGCAGTTCTGCTCCATCCTATAGCATTGGTATGAGTCCAGAATTAACTCAATGGCAGTGTTTGGTTTGGTTTTAGATAAAGGATAACAGAAAACACAGGTAAGTTACAGAAGTCCCATTACCTTCAAACAGTTCACTCAAGATCCCTGGTCTGCTGTTGCCAATCACTGTGGGGAGAAGGCTATACCCTAACTTACATCCTCAGATACAGTATTTCCATATGAAATGCCCAGCAGCCTACCTAATAAACTGGGAAATAAATGGGCAAATATTTTCATATTTACAGATCTTCTTTAGACACTGTTCTCCACATATTCTTACTGCTTAGTAAAATCAGTGTTTTCTCTATTAGGAATAGCAAGCCCGTGTAACCAACTCCTCTTTCCTATCACATACAGCAAAAAGCAAAGAAACAAAGCTAAACTCACTGCCTCCAGTGATTCCAATCCACAGCGCCTAGAGGAAAAGTCCAACTGCCCCATAGGGTTTCGAATAACCAAGGCTTTCTCTCACCAAGCAGCTGATGGGCTCCAATGGCTGACCTTTCAGTTAACAGCCAAGTGCTTAACCATTATACCACCTGGGCTCCCGCAGTCCACAGTAAATTACCTTTAACCTGAAAGTCTGTGGTAGACATGGGACTACCATAAAATTCCACAGGTGTCCATGAGAAAATTCCACTTTTCAGAAGTGTACTTTAAAGGCTGCTTTTGTTGTTTTTTAGTATCATAATCATTTCCAAATAACTTATTACGGAAAAAATACACTCCAAAAAAAAAGGCAATCAGGTAATATAATACGTTTTAAGCCACAGAATTTTCTTTTTGGGTCCTGTGAAAGCCAAATTCTAAAAGGACTGCACTTGAGAGACAGCACAGCCAACAGTTACCAGAAAGGATTTGGGAGCTATACCACCCGGGTTCACAACAGTTCTACCAAGTACTAGCTGTAGAATCGTGGGCAACTTACTCGGCCTGAGCCACAACGCCTTCATCTGTATACAGGGAGAGTAGGGGCTGCCTTATAAAGCAGTTGAGGATGAATGAGTTAATAAAACCATTTAGAATACAGGTACTATGAATTTGTCATTATCTACCTGCAAAAATCTAAATGAAATGTCTCAAATATCGGAATGCTGGGCTTCTTCCGTTCATTTCAGCTAATAACTTTAAAAATACCTATCTGTGCTGCACATGAAATCAGTAATCACGTCTAGGTTCAAATCACGAACAGATCCCCGCCTGGCCAAGTCATTTTTCAGTTTCCTCACACAACACCAGGAGCTCTGGTGGCATAGTGCCTAAGGCATTTGACTGCTAACCAGAAGGTTGGCGGTTCAAACTCACCAGCCACTCCTCAGAAAGAAGGTTGGGCAATCAAGTTCCGTAGTGATACCGCCTCAGAAACCCAAGGAGGGGTCGCTATGAGTCGGATCGGATTAGAGGGCAGTGAGTTTGGTTTGGTTTTTTAGTTCACACAACACCCCCCTAACAGTCTGGGACAACCAAAGGGTAAAGGGGCAGGACGCTAAGAATTCAGTCCTTCAAGTGACTGCAATCGTAAGGTGACCAAACCTTGCAAACGGGTTCAGATTCAAATGGTGTCCCAAATATGCAAGGATCCCCTTCAGCTAAAAATCTTGCCATAATACATAACTCCGCCCTTATCTCTCATAA